GGATGGTAGAGTGATGGAGGATGGTAGAGTGATGGAGGATGGTAGAGTGATGGAGGATGGTAGAGTGATATAGGATGGTAGAGTGATGGAGAATGGCAAAGTGATGGAAGATGGTAGAGTGATGGAGGGTGGTACAGTGATGGAGGATGGTACAGTGATGGAGGATGGTAGAGTGATGGAGGATGGTACAGTGAGGAAGGATGGTAGAGTGATGGAGGATGGTACAGTGACGGAGGATGGTACGGTGATGGAGGATGGTACAGTGATGGAGGATGGTACAGTGATGGAGGATGGTACAGTGATGGAGGATGGTACAGTGATGGAGGATGGTACAGTGATGGAGGGTGGTACAGTGATGGAGGATGGTACAGTGAGGAAGGATGGTAGTGATGGAGAATGGTACAGTGATGGAGGATGGTACAGTGATGGAGGATGGGACGGTGATGGAGGATGGTAGTGATGGAGGATGGTACAGTGATGGAGGACGGTACAGTGATGGAGGATGGTACAGTGATGGAGGATGGTACAGTGAGGAAGGATGGCAGAGTGATGGAGGATGGTAGAGTGATTGAGGATGGTACAGTGATGGAGGATGGTACGGTGATGGAGGATGGTACAGTGATGGAGGATGGTACAGTGATGGAGGATGGTACAGTGATGGAGGATGGTACAGTGATGGAGGATGGTACAGTGATGGAGGATGGTACGGTGATGGAGGATGGTACAGTGATGGAGGATGGCACAATGATGGAGGATGGTACAGTGATGGAGGATGGCACAGTGATGGAGGATGGTACAGTGATGAAGGATGGTACAGTGATGGAGGATGGTACAGTGATGGAGGATGGTACAGTGATGGAGGATAGTACGGTGATGGAGGATGGTACAGTGATGGAGGATGGTACAGTGATGGAGGATGGTACAGTGATGGAGGATGGTACAGTGATGGGGATGGTACAGTGATGGAGGATGGTACAGTGATGGAGGATGGTACAGTGATGGAGGATGGTACAGTGATGGAGGATGGTACAGTGATGGAGGATGGTACAGTGATGGAGGATAGGTACGTGATGGAGGATGGTACAGTGATGGAGGATGGTACAGTGATGGAGGATGGTACAGTGATGGAGGATGGTACAGTGATGGAGGATGGTACAGTGATGGAGGATGGTACAGTGATGGAGGATGGTACAGTGATGGAGGATGGTACAGTGATGGAGGATAGTACGGTGATGGAGGATGGTCAGTGATGGAGGATGGTACAGTGATGGAGGATGGTACAGTGATGGAGGATGGTACAGTGATGGAGGATGGTACAGTGATGGAGGATGGTACAGTGATGGAGGATAGTACGGAGATGTATGGAGGATGGTACAGTGATGGAGGATGGTACAGTGATGGAGGATGGTACAGTGATGGAGGATGGTACAGTGATGGAGGATGGTACAGTGATGGAGGATGGTACAGTGATGGAGGATGGTACAGTGATGGAGGATGGTACAGTGATGGAGGATGGTACAGTGATGGAGGATAGTACGTGATGGAGGATGGTACAGTGATGGAGGATGGTACAGTGATGGAGGATGGTACAGTGAGGGAGGATGGTACAGTGATGGAGGATGGTACAGTGATGGAGGATGGTACAGTGATGGAGGATGGTACAGTGATGGAGGATGGTACAGTGATGGAGGATGAGTACGGTGATGGAGGATGGTACAGTGATGGAGGATGGTACAGTGATGGAGGATGGTACAGTGATGGAGGATGGTACAGTGATGGAGGATGGTACAGTGATGGAGGATGGTACAGTGATGGAGGATGGTACAGTGATGGAGGATGGTACAGTGATGGAGGATGGTACAGTGATGGAGGATGGACGGTGATGGAGGATGGTACAGTGATGGAGGATGGTACAGTGATGGAGGATGGGACGGTGATGGAGGATGGTACAGTGATGGAGGATGGTACAGTGATGGAGGATGGTACAGTGGTGGAGGATGGTACAGTGATGGGAAGTGATAACGCAACACAACACGAGACTTCTTGCCACGTTAGAGAGGAGACTAGGGACAGGAGGGAGAGATGGAGAGGAGAGAATGAGGGAGAGAGGGGAGAGAGGGAGAGTAGAGAATGAGGGGATATGTGAGCGAGGGGGAAAGAGGAGTTATGAGAGGGAAGGGAAGAGTGAAAGGGGAAAGTGAGGGAAGGGTAGAGAAGGGCAGTGTTGATACTTGCGCCAGTACGACAACGTCCGTGTAACGTTGCAAGGTATAGAAGACGTCCGTGTAACGTCTCAAGGTATAGAAGACGTCCGTGTAACGTTTCAAGGTATAGAAGACGTCCGTGTAACGTCTCAAGGTATAGAAGACGTCCGTGTAACGTCTCAAGGTATAGAAGACGTCCGTGTAACGTTTCAAGGTATAGAAGACGTCCGTGTAACGTCTCAAGCTATAGAAGACGTCCGTGTAACGTTTCAAGGTATAGAAGACGTCCGTGTAACGTCTCAAGGTATAGAAGACGTCCGTGTAACGTCTCAAGGTATAGAAGACGTCCGTGTAACGTCTCAAGGTATAGAAGACGTCCGTGTAACGTCTCAAGCTATAGAAGATATCCGTGTAACGTTGCAAGGTGCAGAAGACGTCCGTGTAACGTCTCAAGCTATAGAAGACGTCCGTGTAACGTTTCAAGGTATAGAAGACGTCCGTGTAACGTCTCAAGGTATAGAAGACGTCCGTGTAACGTCTCAAGGTATAGAAGACGTCCGTGTAACGTCTCAATGTATAGAAGACGTCCGTGTAACGTCTCAAGGTATAGAAGACGTCCGTGTAACGTCTCAAGGTATAAGAAGTCCGTGAACGTCTCGGTATGAAGACGTACGGTAAGTCTCAAGGTATAGAAGACGTCCGTGTAACGTCTCAAGGTATAGAAGACGTCCGTGTAACGTCTCAAGGTATAGAAGACGTCCGTGTAACGTCTCAAGGTATAGAAGACGTCCGTGTAACGTCTCAAGGTATAGAAGACGCACTGGCAATATAAAGCACGATTGATATAAAGTGAAAATTTCTATTGAGTGATGGATGACATGAGCACTTGCTTGCTTGCTTGCTTGCTTGCTTGCTTGCTTGCTTGCTTGTCAGATATTTGACGGGAAGTTCAATTTATATACAAGTGTGAACAAATCTCTAAGTTTTCTTAAACAGACAATTGATCTAGTTTTAGGAGAAAAAACGTTTTCACGTATAAATCCAAGAACAGAAAATGTTTGTAGTGTTGAAGTAAGAAGCACAGCATCACCTGGTGTGTGTTGGTGAGGAGAGAAGGAGCACAGCATCACCTGGTGTGTGTTGGTGAGGGGAGAAGAAGCACAGCATCACCTGGTGTGTGTTGGTGAGGAGAGAAGGAGCACAGCATCACCTGGTGTGTGTTGGTGAGGGGAGAAGGAGCACAGCATCACCTGGTGTGTGTTAGTGAGAGGAGAGAAGGAGCACAGCATCACCTGGTGTGTGTTGGTGAGGAGAGAAGGAGCAGAGCATCACCTGGTGTGTGTTAGTGAGAGGAGAGAAGGAGCACAGCATCACCTGGTGTGTGTTGGTGAGGAGAGAAGGAGCACAGCATCACCTGGTGTGTGTTAGTGAGAGGAGAGAAGGAGCACAGCATCACCTGGTGTGTTGGTGAGAGGAGAGAAGGAGCACAGCATCACCTGGTGTGTGTGGTGAGGAGAGAAGGAGCACAGCATCACCTGGTGTGTGTTAGTGAGAGGAGAGAAGGAGCACAGCATCACCTGGTGTGTGTTGGTGAGGAGAGAAGGAGCACAGCATCACCTGGTGTGTGTTGGTGAGGAGAGAAGGAGCACAGCATCACCTGGTGTGTGTTGGTGAGGGGAGAAGGAGCACAGCATCACCTGGTGTGTGTTAGTGAGAGGAGAGAAGGAGCACAGCATCACCTGGTGTGTGTTGGTGAGGGGAGAAGGAGCACAGCATCACCTGGTGTGTGTTAGTGAGAGGAGAGAAGGAGCACAGCATCACCTGGTGTGTGTTGGTGAGGAGAGAAGGAGCACAGCATCACCTGGTGTGTGTTGGTGAGGAGAGAAGGAGCACAGCATCACCTGGTGTGTGTTAGTGAGAGGAGAGAAGGAGCACAGCATCACCTGGTGTGTGTTGGTGAGGAGAGAAGGAGCACAGCATCACCTGGTGTGTGTTGGTGAGGGGAGAAGGAGCACAGCATCACCTGGTGTGTGTTAGTGAGAGGAGAGAAGGAGCACAGCATCACCTGGTGTGTGTTGGTGAGGAGAGAAGGAGCACAGCATCACCTGGTGTGTGTTAGTGAGAGGAGAGAAGGAGCACAGCATCACCTGGTGTGTGTTGGTGAGGAGAGAAGGAGCACAGCATCACCTGGTGTGTGTTAGTGAGAGGAGAGAAGGAGCACAGCATCACCTGGTGTGTGTTGGTGAGAGGAGAGAAGGAGCACAGCATCACCTGGTGTGTGTTAGTGAGAGGAGAGAAGAAGCACAGCATCACCTGGTGTGTGTTAGTGAGGAGAGAAGGAGCACAGCATCACCTGGTGTGTGTTAGTGAGGAGAGAAGGAGCACAGCATCACCTGGTGTGTGTTAGTGAGAGGAGAGAAGGAGCACAGCATCACCTGGTGTGTGTTAGTGAGAGGAGAGAAGGAGCACAGCATCACCTGGTGTGTGTTAGTGAGAGGAGAGAAGAAGCACAGCATAACCTGGTGTGTGTTAGTGAGAGGAGAGAAGAAGCACAGCATCACCTGGTGTGTGTTAGTGAGAGGAGAGAAGGAGCACAGCATCACCTGGTGTGTGTTAGTGAGAGGAGAGAAGGAGCACAGCATCACCTGGTGTGTGTTAGTGAGAGGAGAGAAGGAGCACAGCATCACCTGGTGTGTGT